CCACCAGGTCTAACTACTTTTTTCTATTTCCTTTTTCCTTTTGAGACAGAGCCTCAAGCTATCTCCCTGGGTAGAGTGCCATGGCATCACAGCTTACAGCAACCTCCAACTCCTGGGCTCAAGCGAGTCTCCTGCTTCAGCCTCCCAAGTAGCTGGGACTACAGGCGCCCGCCACAATGCCCGGCCATTTTTTTGGTTGCAGCCATTGTTGTTTGGCAGGCCCAGGCTGGGGATTCGAACCCGCCACCTTAGGTGTATGTGGCTGGTGCCTTAGCCACTGAGCCACAGGCGCCAAGCCATGTTATTTCTTTAGAACCATGGCCGCCTTTTAAGCTCCTCCATGCACAACTTCTGCCTTCACTTTCTTTATTATAATGTATATTGAAACATTTGAGTTAATGGAGAGTTTATTCATCCAGATGGTAAAGTTTTTACAGTTTTCATTTTGATTGGAAATATATTTAGAAGATACCGGCACTTATTTTCAAGTAGTATACTAGGTGCAAAAACATTTTCCTTATAACTTGAGGTAACTGTGTTTCCTGGTATGTATTCATAGAAGTTAGCAAAATGGTAATAGGTGATTGGCCAGTAAAAGATTCCCAGGTCAGATAAGTTTGGAAGAGGCCATGTTTTGTAATGCCCTCTGGGAACTTTCACAAGGTATTTTAACTTGATTAAGCTTTTTTTGTTGTTGTTGAGACAGAGTGTCACTGTGTTGCCCTCGGTAGAGTGCTGTGATGTCACAGCTCACAGCAACCTCAAACTCTTGGGCTGAAGGGATTCTCTTGCCTCAGCCTCCCAGGTAGCTGGGACCTCAGGTCGCCTGCCACAACCCCCGGCTATTTTTTGTTGGAGTTATCATTGTTTAGCTGGCCTGGGCTGGGTTTGAACCCACCAGCCTGGGTGTATGTGGCCGGCACCCTACCCACTGAGCCGCCTATTAAGCTTTTTTTAATCCAGTGTTTTTTTTGAATGTATTTTCTTTGCTGAAAACCTGTTCAGGGTCTAGAGATCACATTTAGAGAAATGCTGAGCACATCTAGTTATCTTTTTTTTTTTTTTTTGAGACAGAGCCTCAAGCTGTCCCCCTGGGTAGAGTGCCGTGGCATTACAGCTCACAGCAACCTCCAACTCCTGAGCTCAAGCGAGTCTCCTGCCTCTGCCTCCCAAGTAGCTGGGACCACAGGCGCCCGCCACAATGCCCGGCTATTTTTGGTTGCAGCCGTCATTGTTGTTTTGGCGGGTCCGGGCTGGGGATTCGAACCCGCCACCTTAGGTGTACGTGGCAGGCGCCTTAGCCGGTTGAGCTATAGGCGCGGAGCCATATCTAGTTATCTTATTCTTGCACCATACTGAGAGATAATCCTATGATCTTTGTAGCATGTAAGGTGATTTTGCCTTCATTCATAGTTTTTTGAATTTCCTTTTGGTGTGTTTGGTTCTCCAAGTGTAACCCCTGTAATGGCAGCATCAGCAGCACCTCAGAACTTGTAGATAAAAATTCTCAGCTCCACCCCAGGAACTCCAATTCTGAAATCTCGTGGTTAGAGCATTTACGTTTTAATAACCCTCTAGTTTTGTGATTTCCAACTACTGGGTCTCAGACTGGTACTGGTCTGTGGCCTGTTAGGTACTGGGCTGCACAGTAGGGGCAGAGCTTCTTGTGTATTTACAGACACTTCTCATCTCTCGTCACCACCTGCGCTATGCCTCCTGTCAGATCATTGGTAGCATTAGATCCTCATAGGAGCGCGAACCCTAATGTAAACAGCGCACATGAGGGCTATAGGTTGTGTGCGCCTTTTGAGAATCTAACACCCACCCCTATCCTCTGGTCCCTGAAAAAATTATCTTCTGTGAAACTAGTTCCTGGTGCCAGAAAGGTTTGGGACTGCTGCCCTAGGTAATTAATGTTTGCTGGAGTTTGGGAACTATGGCTATTAGAGATTGGGTCTCTTTTTCTGACACATTTTACTTTTATTTTTTTCTTTTTGAAACGGAGTCTCACTCTGTTGCTCCAGGCTGGATAATCTCCAACCCTTAGGCTCAAGTCATCCTCTTGCCTCCTTTTCCATGAGTAGCTGCCACCAGGTCTAACTACTTTTTTCTATTTCCTTTTTCCCTGCTCTTGCTCAGGCTAGTCTCACTATGTTGCTCCTAAATAGTCTCAATCCACCTTCCTCAGCTTCCCAGTGTGCTAGGATTACAGGTGTGAGCCACTGCACCTGGCCATCTTTCGCTTTTTTTTTTTTTGTAGAGACAAGAGTCTCACTTTGTTGCCCTCGGTAGAGTGCTGTGCTGTCACATGGCTCACAGCAACCTCTAATTCCTGGGCTTAGATGATTCTCTTGCCTCAGCCTCCTGAGCAGCTGGAACTACAGGTGCCCGCCGCAACACCCAGCTGTTTTTTTGGTTGCAGTTTGGCCGGGGCCGGGTTTGAACCCGCCGCCCTCAGTATATGGGGCTGGCACCCTACCCACTGAGCCACTGGTGCCATCCCATCTTTCACTTTTTTTCTTCCACCCTTTCACCCATGTTCTCTTTTGCTACTTCTGACCTATTGTTGCCTGGATAATATACCCAAGCTTGTTAAAGTTGTGTAAGTAAATTGCTATTTGTGAGCTTTTTTTTTTTTTTTTT